TGAGGCGCGGCGGCGCGCCTGGAGGAAGCGAGCATATATATGTATATGTATGTATATATACATATATATCTATAACAAAAAAACGCTGCCTGCGAGGGTCGTCTTTGGGCCTCTTGGAGGTCCTCCACGCGACCCCTCGGAAGCGGTTTTCCCGGCGGCCAGCTCTTGCCCCGCTCGCCTTCCTTTCGGCGCCCCGCCGAAAAAGGCGGCAGGCGCGGGGGGCCAGAACCCGGGGCAAGGCGGAGGGCGCGGCCGCGGCCACGCAGGAGGGGGCGAAGGAGCGCAAGCGCCTTGAGCAAGCCCTTTCTGAGAAGCAGGCTTGGCTTTGGAACAACTACGCCGTTGAACGCCGACGAACTTCGGCGCTCGCCCAGGCGCGCTCCTGGGAGGGCGCGGCCAAGTCCGTCGGCCTTCAATGTGCGCCCCCATCCAAGGTCAAGCGTTCTTCTCCGAATTGTCAAGCTAAGTGCAACAACTTCTTGTCGGAGAAGTGCCGCTTCATCGCTCTGGGCACGGTCGCGCAGCGGAAGAAGTACTTTGAGCTCGCGAAGAAGGCTCGAAGGAGCATCCGTGACGGGTGCTTCGGCGACCAGTAGGCTGGCTGCTGCCGCTAATGCCGAATCCGGTTGCAAGGCGAGAAAACGAGCACAACTCAAAAGACCGCTGCTGGGGCCACAACCAGCGAAGGCGAGAGGGGCATCCTGTTTTGGATGCCCCCCCCAGGGGATCCCGAGACGACCGGCGAGGCCACCGCCCCCCTCCGCCAGACCACGCCAAGACGGCTCAAGGAGCTTCGGAGACCGCTCCAAGACGACCAGAGAGGCCTCCAAGACGGTCCTAGGCGGCTCAACGAAACACGGCAGGGCAACACGCAACATCCAACCAACGAGAAATGTCAGCACGAGGCAGCAACTCAATCTTAACGCAGATCATTGGATAAACAAGTGTGCGCGCGTGTGTGTCTCGTAAGCGAAAAGGGGGTCCAGCTTCTAGGATGCCCGCGTCGGGGCAGACATCGCAAACGCAATGACATCACATGCACATTGGTCAATAAACGCTAGCATTGCCCAAGGGAAACGGGCCACCACCGTGCTTGACACGTATACAAAGCACATGCACGCGTAGCGATGCCGACAGCGAAAACCCACAGACACTACATGTGCACGCGCGCGTGTTCACCGTGAATCACCATCTCGATCGGTCGCAGTCGTGACCGTCGTCGCGTCGTCGTCGCCGACCCTACTTCGGAGCCATTGCCCACCCCCCCATCCACCTCTCGTTGCCGCTAGCGCTCAGGCCTCTGCAGGGTGCTCAGACCCCCATCAAAGTTCTTCGCGGCGGGCCTCTACCATGGCTTTCGAATACGCTTTCGTGCCGCGCGGCACGTATGGCCACGTCGGCCACGTTCTGCCGCCCGACGCGGCGTGGCGCAGGGTGGGGCGCACGCAGGCTCAGCGCTTGGCTGCTGGCGAGGACTTGATCGCGGGGGGTAATTCAGTTTTTGGAGGGCCCCTCCCCCGCCACCGACCATCTCAGGATTTCGGCAATGAGGACGCACGTTTTCTTGCGCCCCAGGATCGGTTCAACGTGTGCGTGTGGCCCGCGAACATTGAAGTGCGGGACAGCGGCAACCCGTTCGTTGCTCCCGGCTTCCACGGCAATGGAGTCAAACGATCTCGTTTTCGATTGCGTCATCGTCCGCCCGTGCGTGTACGCCGAGGTTGTGGCCACTTGCGTCGGCCACGACGATCGCGCGCTCGCCTCGCCAGCCGCGATCGCGAGATCTTGCCCCGTCTGCGATCTGCCCGATCGGTCTGACGCGGGCAGTTGCAGATCGACGATGCTCGCTGTGATCGGCCCGATCGATCTGCCGCGGATAGTGGCTGGCATATCTGCGATGCGCGATGTCGCCCTGCGGTGGGCACTGAGGACCGCACGTGCATCGTGACGTTCACGTGCCGCGATTTCCCAGGATGGACCCATGCGGCGGAGGTGCCGTGGTCGACAACCTGGGGGCTCATGGAGAGGATGGTGATGGCGTCGCTTTCGTTGCCCCGCCACCGCGATGTGCTGTTCGATGCCGACGGCGACCAGCCCTCCAACCGCATGCGCGTGGGCCCGTCGTTCGGCCTGCGCGCGTCGGCGCGCCGCCGTCTCTGAGGCGAGGGCAGGTAGTGCGGGCGCGGCGCGCGCCGCGCACGCTCGCAGCACCCCACCCGCGTTGCGATATGTCGGGCGAATGATATGGCAATGCCCAAGCGAAATGTGCGCGGATCCGCATCTTGTTTGCGATCGTAGTGAAGTGAACTGAACATCATCATCTTCAGCTGTGCGCGGGCGCTATCGCGCGCTTGGCCAGCGCGCACTTGCGCGCAGGAAGAGGAAGAACAGACGGAGGAGGAGTGAGAGGAGGAGGAGGAGGAGGAGGAGGAGGAGGAGGAGGAGGAGGAGGAGGAGGACGAGGAGGAGGAGGAGGAGGAGGAGGAGGAGGAGGGGGAGGAGGAGGAGGAGGAGCAACAGCCGCAGCATGGCAACGATACCACCAAACCCTGCTATTCACAGGTCTGTTTTGTTTTTTTGGCCAAGAGGTGCGAACAGCAGTGTTCGGCAGGATCGTGGCCACCAAACCATGCTATTCACAGGTTTTTTTTGGTTAGGGATACCACCAAACCCTGCTATTCACAGGTTATTTTGTTTTTTTTGTGGTTTTCAGGAGGTCCAAATACCCCTGGGCCACGAAAGTGTTCCGGACCTCTTGAAAACCAAAAAAAACAAACAAACAAACAACAAAAAACAAAAAAAATGTGAATAGCAGGGTTTGGTGGTATCCTTGACCAAAAAAACATGTGAATAGAATGGTTTGGTGGCCACGATCCTGCCGAACACTGCTGTTCGCACATCCTGGTCATGTTTGTGGATCTCTGGAAAACCAAAAAAAACAAAACAACATGTGAATAGCAGTGTTTGGTGGCTTCCCTGACAAAGAAAACAAAAAAAACATGCGAATAGCACTGTTTCCTCCTCATCCTAATCCTCAACCTCCTGGTCCTCCTCCTCCTAAACATCCTCTTCCTCTTCGTTTTCATATCTGGAGGAGGAGAGTAGGATGATGATGATGATGATGATGATGATGAGGAAGAGGAGGAGGAGCAACGGAAAGAGAGCGAAACAGAGAGAAATCACAGCGATGGGTACACACGGGGTGCTGGGGGGGAAAGCTAACCATATATATATATATATATATATATATATATCTATATATATACATATATATATATGTATATATATATATATATCATGAGCTATGCTTGTTTGTGTTTCCACCGAAAGTGTGCTCCGCCCTGATCGTGCTCTGCGCCTCCAGAGGTCCAAAGTGATCGCGTCGAGGGGGGGAGGGGGGGGGGCCCATCTCGCCGATGAATGGAATGTCGGGGGTCGACGCACCCCCTCCTGAGCCTGTCCCCGTCCCCAGTGGCTTTCGGGCCATCCTTCGGGCCAGAGCGCTCTCTCGGCGGGGCCCCGCCGCCGGAGCGCGCACCCCGGGGCCGAAGGAGCAGCCGAGAGCCGACGCGCACGCCCGAAGACCTCGAGCCTCAAGCAGGAGGAGGAGGAGGAGGAGGAGGAGGAGGAGGAGGAGGAGGAAGCGGAGGAAGCGGAGGAGGACGTCTTCTCCCCGTGAGAATGCCTCCCCCTGGACGCCCTGGCGGCGCGCACCAGAGGGTCAGCTCCTGCTCCTAATCCTCCTCCTGCGCGTTCCTTTCTTCGTTGGCCACATCGCGCACACGAGGTCACACCCCGGTCCCCAGGCGCAGCGGCGCCAGAGAGAGAAAGAGGGTGGGAGGGCGGGACAAGCGGTCCCCCCTGTGACCCAAAAGGCTGCGGAGAAGACAAGGGAGCAGAAGGGGAAGTGAGACGGATGCATTACGGAGGGAGGGGGCAGAGAGACTAACTACGCTTCACATTTGTGAATGCGCGTTTTGGGGAAGGGGGAAAGGCTCCTTGAGGCTGCTTCTGAGAAGGCGCCGGCTTTACCTACATAGAGAAGGCCCACGCCTCCTGAGAACTGAGCAGGGACCGACCGTCCCGGCATTCCTGTGGGCCTACCACGACATGTTCTCAAAACCCTACACACGTTCGAAAGACAAAAACACTGCTCTCAGAACATAAGCCCAATGTGTTAGAACAAAGCCATCTCGGCCAGAACTGTTCCAAGGACATCTCGTGCAGACCGCATCATGTTCTCAGAGCGCTCTTGGATGGGTCTGGTCAGGCGCGCCAGGACGCTTCGCCACTGGTTGACTCTAAGAAGCCTTCCCCCCTCCCCCGACCCCCTCCGGCTCGGGGGCGCACAAATATGGATTAGCGATCCATGGATTTGGTGCGCGGTCGCCAAATCCATGGATCGGGAGAGGAGCCCTCCACAGAATGCGGCCGGTGCCACCTCGTTCGGCGACGGGAATCCGCGATTCCCCTGGAAACAGGACCCGTCGCTGATCCACGCCCCGACACCCCACGGGCAGCGCCGCCCACCGCTGGCCCTGGGACACGCAAATGAATGGACACAAATAACAGGACTCTTATATAGTTTCCTATATGTTCCTGGTTTTTGGCTTCCCCCCACCCTTCCTATACTCTCGCCTGTACTTTCGTGGGACTCGGCGATGCATTGCGTCTGTGTGTTCTTGACCTCCTTTGGGAACCCCAAAACCGGGTGGTGAGATACCAGGTGGCGACCTGGAATCCCCAAAAAGATCACCGCTGGGTTTGGTTTGGGGACGCGGGGTCACCACCGGGTTTTGTGACTCCTGGACCCACCAGTGTCCGGGACATCCTCGGAAAACCGCACGAGTCCCAAAACCGAGAGGTGACACCAAATCGCCCGAGACTCACCACCAGGTATTGTCACCACCACGTTTGGGGACTACCAAATGTTCTTGACCTCCTGACCCGTGCGCGCCCCTCGCCCCGGCACGGCGGCGGAGGCGCGCGGGGAGAGGCACCCCGCCATGCCCTGCCCCGGCAGGCCCGGCGCGGCCATGCCCGGGGCCATGCCCGGGAAGCCGGCCATGCCCGGCCACGCCTGGAGTCGCGCGCGGGCAGGGGGGCGCAGACTCGAAGCGGCGAGTCGGCTCGGCGATGGGCGCGAATTGGAGGGGGAAACAAACCTACCTCGCTTTGGACCACCCTCGCTTCCAAGAGATACCAGACGATGCCAGATTGCAGCCTGTACTGGTCAGGCCGCTTGACGAGGAGGCACGTGGTATGATTTGGTTTTGCCTGGAAGCGAAAGCGGGGTAGGTAATTCAGGAGATCGGCAGCCGGGTCAGGAGGAGTCGGATCGGCGGACATCGGCAGGCGGATGTGCCTCCGTTGGGGAATCGGAGCCCAGATCGGAATCCGAGCGAAGCGGAATCGGAAGCCATCGGAATCGGATCGAACCGAATCGGAGGAATCGAAGCGAGCCCTGCCGGTGGGGGGGGGGGTCGGAGGTGTCCTGAGACCCTGCCGCTGCAATCTTTCCACAACGGGCGTTGTCGTTCCGTTTCAGGCCCCAGGAGACCCTTACGGATCGATGCGGCTCGAAACATGACGCAGGAAGATGGTGTCAGGGTCTCAGAAAGTGACGCATGATAATCATTATGTTTTGCACCGTCGGATGTCAGGGGGGGATCCGAGAGGTAGTCCTAGCCCTCCGACGATACATTCGGTCCGTATCATAAGGATGCGCGATGAGGATACAAAGGCCTCGGAGAGTCGTTTCGAAGCCCCTCGAGTAGGGTGCGGCCAACGACAGAGGCCAGGGATGGACCGAGGAGGGAAGCATGATGCCCATCCTTACCATGCGGGTCGACTGTTCTCTGGATTTCGTCATCACCCAGACATGCTCGAGTCGCGAAATTACCCTGACGATTACCCAACCCTTGCGCAGCGTGTGGCACCAATAGCTGGGAAGAGTTGTTGGGGGTGATGGCGTGAGACACGAACTTATACTTGTTGCAAACGCTACCTGGGAGGCTCGCAGATCGCAGCCCCCAGGGATGGCGATGTCCCGCTCTGTTCTGCGTAGCACCGCAGCGAGCGTACGTGGCGACGGCTTCGCAAGTCGCCCCCCCCCCTCCCCCCCCTCGGATAGCAACGTCGCGCTCTGATCTGCGTAGCACCGCGCAAAGCAGGCCCCTCCCCAGCAGCACTCGAACGTGGGGGCAGTTTCGCAGCTCGCACCCCCCAGGAATGGCGAGGTCCCGCTCTGCACTGCACTGAACTGGGCCCCGCAGGTAGCCCTCGAGAGAGGCGACAGTTTCGCAAATCGCAGCTCCCGAAGGATGGCGAGATCCCGCTCTTACCCTGTAGGATCACACGAAGCTGCCCCCCCAGCACTCCCAGAACGTGGCGAAAGTTTCGCAAATCGCGACCCCCCAAGGGATCGCAAGGTGCCGCTCTGATCTGCCTGACGTTTCTTGGAGGGTTCCAGGAGAATCTGGGCAAAAGGCCGCCCTTTCATCGCTGGTCTGCAGGGGGGGTCTAACACTGCCTGTCTGGGAGGTTTGCGACCCACCCCAATCATTACGATATGTGGAGCGTGATTTGTTCAATCTGGTTGCTTTGTCACTCGGTTTCGGGCTTCGGGGTCCATGCTCGGGCCGCGGGACCACCGAAACGGTTCCTGGAAGAAAAAAATATCCCCGCGGCAGGGCAGGGGACGGAGTGCTGGGGCGGCGGACGCAAAAAGAATACATCGGCGGATGTCGGGGGTTCGACGGCGCGGGAGGAAGGTGGGGCCGCGAGGAGAGGAGCGAGCGGGAGGTGAGGGCTCCAAGAAATATGCACCACCAACTTCATCCCACTCCCCTCATCCAGCCTTTCCTCTCCCCTTTCTTGGGAGAGGGAGGGGGTGAGGAAGGCGGCGATGGTGCATGTTTTGCCCCCCCCCCCCCCCAAAGGATGGGAAGGACAGAAGGGGAAAGACAGGCGAGGGGGGGATGTCTGCGGAGAGGGAGAGGGGCCAGGGGGATCAGGAAAGGGAGGCGCAGATGGAACGCACGAGCACTCTCGGGAGCGGCCAAGAGGGGGGTGTCGAAGAGGGGGGGGTGCAAAGCATGACCGGCGGCATGTGCGCGGCCCAGCGGGGGGGGCAGGGACGTAACGAAATAAGAAGAGGCGCCATGAAATCTGGGGAAATACCATGGCCCACGCCATGATATCCACCATCCACCCCCCCTAGTCATCCCCCCCTCTTTGCCGCCCCCGAGACTTGTACTATGTGCCCTCTTGACGGTGCGCACGGGCGAGGGGGGAAGGGTTCTTAGGAGGAGACTGCTTCTCAGAAGGCGCTGGCCTTGCATCTCCAGAGAAGGCCCGCGCCTTCTACGCAGCAGGGGTGCTTCTAGGAAGCCTTCCCCCCTCCCCCATACCCACCTCTGCGCGTGGCCGATCCTCCGCGGAGGCGCGCGTGTGACCCCGAACATCTAAAATAATCATCCTGTAATACATATTTTCCCG